GAAAGGCTGCTGCCCAGAGTAGGCCCCCATAGGCCACAAAGTGCAAGCTCTCAGTGCTCCCCAGGCCCCAGTCCAGAGCAGGTCTGAACAGTTCCAAGAAAAGGGTAAGAAAAAAAGACAGTCCAGGGAAAACTCTGCCTCAGCCAGCTAAAGCAACTGAAAAGCAAAGGAACACTCTGTTCTGCTCTGTCAGTGCCCGGACAACACAGTGCAGCACAGAATGTGGAGCAGTGTTGCTTTTAGAAGAGTGAGTGCAGCCTCTGATAACAAACTCCGTGCTTCTTCTTCTCCCCACCTTTGCTCTCAGAACCAGTCTTGAAGACAGAGAATATAATATCCAGCATTAACAGAACAGATGACTGGGGATACAAGCATCATAAAGTCACCCTAGGACACTGCTCTACTGAGATATGTCACCAGACTTTGCTAAGACAAAGTTTTGGAACTGCTAATTAAAATTCTACTATCACAGTGAAGCTGAGGAGGAAACACAGCTCACTACAGTTACCTTGTAGCATGCCAATACTTCCTGTCAATCACAATGGTTTTTGTTTTTAAGTCCGTGACTGGCATGATTCACTGGCATAATTTAACATCTTTTGGGCAGGAAGGAAGATATCATTCTTCTCATTATACTGATGGGTAAGCTAAAATGCAAAGCAGTTAATTCAAAGTGAAACAGTGATAAAGTCAATAGTAAAACACACCACAGTTTCGTTTACTACCCTAAGTCCTTACTATCCCAAAATACAAGAACAGCTGTAAAAGCCTTGTGGCTACTTAATTTTTTCCTATACTACATGGGAGGGTAAGGGATAAATGATCCCAAACAATGGTAATCCACAACAAAGCATTCTTGACATCATATTCAGCTTTTGCATAGCAAGCTCTTCACCTGATCAAGTTATTCCATTAGAATAGTTTGGAGAGTATCTTAGAGAGCTGGCTGTTGTTTGGTTTGAAACCATCTGGATCATTCAGGAACTCAGTAGCAATGAGAAAGTCCAAATTAAGATAGTGCTATGCATTGATTTTCATATATGACAGACATATTTCTACAACACAGAAGGCTGACCTAATGCTTCCCTACAACATGGCTGAAGTGGCATCCTGTCCCTCATAGGTTTTTCTGTTTATTTTTAGCTGCTTTCTTACCAGATTAATGAGCTGAACTAGCTCAAAAAGGAATAAGATAAGTGCCAGAGCTTTAAAACAAACAAAAAAAAAAACCAAATGCAAAATGGTGATTTGTAGGTATGTTTGAAAGTAGAAGTTTTTTGTATTTTTCATAAATACATGCCATTCTCTAGAATGATATTGCTCTAACCTTTTGAGTTTGTTGTTGGTTTTTTTTTCCCCTCAATTCTAAATGTTATGCATTCTTTTTGGCCATTTTAGTAAATAGATTTCCTGATATGTGTGAAAGACGGTCTGAAGTTCCCCTCATTTGCCTCATGACCATTCCCAGGAAAGACACTGGGACCCTAAAGACCCTGATGGGAGTTCTGGCCTGCCGGTGGTGGATGAACGCCAAAAATCCTGAGACCCCTGAGCAGAATTCTGGCCTGCCAAGTGATTGTTCACAGCTGTGTCTACAGTGACTGCTTCTAGCATGGCCTGCCAAGGGGCAACGCAGCCCATATGCTTGCACCTGCTTCGCGACAATAGGCCAGGAATTTTCCCACCTCTTGGCCAGATGAACTTGCTGAGGCAATTTTGGTAGCCCCCCCCCCATGGAAAGTCCTTCATCTGCTCCACAGCCACTGTGAGGGACGGAGATTGAAGCCCCTCTATCAAGGACTGAAACTGAGACCCCCATAATTCTGATCCAGGGGTGCTGGCCTGACTGAAGCAGGATGCCTGCTAATTGTTGGCTACAGATGTGTTCACTGGACCTAGACTGGTTTCCCATAGAAAGCAACCCTGAAACAATGGGTCCCACTCACTGCTGATATTGACATATCCTGCTGAGAACATGGACTGTCTGTACCTGTCTTCAATACCTTTGTCCCCCTCAGCAATTTCAATAGACTTCTTCTTCTTGATTGTATCTGTTCCCCCTCAGCCATTTCAAGATCTGTTTCCCTCCTCAGAAATCTACTATAATAGAATCTTGACTTAACCAGGACTTTGAGATTTTTCCCGACATGAGTAGGCAAACTCTACCGGCTGGACTACGAGGACTTAGTCTCTCCAAGTTTGGTCGCTATACTCCTGTCCTGGCTCAGGGCAAATTTTGGAGAAAACCCACAAAGGGGTTCCTCTAGGAAAGCAGATTCATTTGGCCCCTCCCCCAACCAGTCCAGGAGAAAATAGCTCCTTAGAAAGAAGTGGAAAAAACCTGTTTATTAAACAATAAAACTCAAACAATATTAAACAATAAACTACCTTGTTGCTCCAAAAGAGATAACAAAATGAGAAAGTCCCCTCCCCGGGTTTCAGTTCAGCTCACTCAGTTTCTTATCAGTCCCTCCAGCACTGGAAATGTCATGGGCCAGGGCTGGTCTGGTGGGCCACAGGTGCAGCTGCCAGTGCTCTGCTGGGTGTTCAGTCCAGAGCAGGTTTCAAGAGGTCCAAAGAAAAGAAGAAAAGGGAAAAAAGAAAAAAAAACACAGTCCAGGGAACTTCTTTGCCTCAGCAAGCTAAAACTAACAAAAACCAAAGGAGAGCTCTGTCCCGCTGTCTGTTCATCCACAGACAACACAGTCCAGCAGCAGGAATGTGGAGGAGTGAGTGCAGTGTCTGAAAACAAACTGCACGCTTCTTGTCTCCCCCCTTCACTCTCTACAACAAGCCTTAAAGGTGCAAAACTTGATTAATCAGCATAAACAGAACAAGACGATTGGGGATAAAAGCATCATATAGTCAACCTAGGACAACTCCCTCTCTCTTTTTCCCTCTCTTTTCTATTCTTTTCCTCTCCCTAATTCCTTTCACGCATTTGCTGTGGTCATTCTATAAAGGTGCATTTGTTTTGATTGGTACTGCAATCCCCTTTCCATGTTGTCTGTTGCACTCCGAGATCAGTTAACGAACCATCACCACCCCCATTGGTATGAGTGGATTGTGACATTAAATCGGCGTCATGGGCAGGATTCTGATAGACAGAGGGGTCTACAGGGCTGTTTGTAGTCTGTAACAGGGGAAAGACGATTTGCTTCAGCCACACCTTGTCCCTCATCCCGAAAGGGTTGAACAGAACTGGAAAGCAAGGAGCTCTTCGAATTTCCCACAAACTGCGCGCGCCCAGGTGAAATACACCCCCATACTCTATTGAGGGTTCTGTCTTTAGAATTTCCCAAAAGATCTCTTAGTGCAAAAGGGGAAATTGTTTTTGTTTATGTGTGAATTTGGACTGTCTGGGAAGGAAGGAAGGAACAACTTGAAGGAAGTAAGCAGAGCCTCCCAGACAGATTTTGTCTCTTCACCCAGCCAGGGAAGCAAAGGGGAACACAGCAAAGGCTGTGAGATTGTCTAACTTAAGTTTGCACCTCCCTGTTGTGGTTTTGGTCCCTTCACAAAATGACTGAAAACTAGGGCAAAAGATAAAGCTGCATTTTCTGCTCTGCTTGCTAAATACAATGCCAAGCCTTCTCCAAGGGGGGAGCTGGTGTCGGGGTGAGCTTGAGCCCCAAACCGGGGTGGGACCAGGGTTTATAAAGGGGAGAGGGTAGGCGAGGCAAGGGTACCATTTAACCAGGATTCAGGGATTTAAGGATTCAGAGGAGGGGACAAGGCAGGGTGATCGGGGGTACGCCTATAAGAATGGGGGGAGAGGGTGGTCCTGGGGCAAGGTCCAAAGAGGGGAGTGGGGAATGGGGAATTTTCCAGAAGGGAAGGAGTGGGTTAGAGGTGATTGATGTTAGAGTCATCCCAGGGTGCTCCCACCCACCTTCCCTGTCCCCTCCTCCCACAAAAGGACTTCTTTCTCCCATGGAAAATGGCCTCTGTTTGCAGCCACTTGCCCTGCTCAACACGGCAGCGCCAGGTTGGAAATGGACAAGCGTTGCTGGATTTCTCCAAAACTAAAGCTGCCAGCAAATAGGACCCTGCAAGCTTTTAGAGTCCTAAAAGTCACCTTTCAACTGATACCCAGACCCTGAGGAAAGGACTTCTTTGTCCCACAGAAAAATCCCTCCATTTTGCGGCCGCTCGCCTGGGCCGACAGGGCAGTGGCAAGCTTAAAATTAGAAAACTTTGTTGGGTTTCTCCAAAACTAAAGCTGCCAGCAACTAGGATCCTGCAAGTCCATAAAGCCCCAAACGCCACCTTTTGTTTGATACCCAGACCCTGGGGAAAGGACTTCTTTTTCTCATGGAAAATGGCTTTCCTTTGTTGCCAGTCACACTTGCAGACATTAGGGCGGTAGGTGTGGGTATCCATAAAATCAGAGAGTTTTGGGAAAGCCACAAAAGGCAGGCCTCAGTGACAGCAGAACTGTGATTCCAGCTAAGCAGTAACCATAAGATTGGTCAGCAGAAAAATTATCTAAGATATAGAAAAGTGAGGACAAATAGAACATTTGTCTCTTATTAACATTTGTCTAGAATAACTCCCTAAGCTGCAGAAAAGTATATCTAGGCAGATGTTAGGAAGTTCCAAGCTTAATAATGGAGCTCTGTCTATGGTGTTTTAAAGCTTACTAGCAGGTACTGTATTTGAAATAAGTAAACATTGTTTTAAGTGACGTTTCATCTGCTTATAGTGGTTGGATGGAACTACTGTCAGTATACTTTTACTTTGTGTGATTGGTCAAAAACTTAGAAAGTAAGTTGTAATATTAAATTCTTGGTCTGCTGCCTGGGATGGGAGCTGATGGCATCTTCCCATTGTCATAAGCACGTAATGAGACAGATGCTGGAAAATAGTACAGCTCAAGACGTGTTCCTAGCAGTTCCATCCTGTTCATGATTTGTACATAGCCCCTGGCCAGTGATACAAGGTACTTGGCCTTCTATTTATTTCCCAAAATAATACATATGCATAACTCCAGCACTTACCATCTCTGTTTTGTATTAAAATGAGGTTATTAGTCTTTCATGCATGCACAATTTTTCTCTTGAATTGGGTCAGTGGTCCCAGAGATGAAGTCAGGAAGGTCTTTGTCAGGTCTCTGTAACCCTCTGGCACGATCCAGGGCCCTCTGCTTCGTGATGGATTAACATAGAGTCCTGGCGCTGGACATTGTTCTACTGGTTTCAATACGTTCCTATAATGGTTCAATTGCTCCACTTCTTTCTACAAATGAGCTCATAACATAACAATTAGCTTTACCTTAAGCATCTAATAATCATTAACCTATTGTTGGTGTATCTAACTTCAATATGAATTGGTTCTAACCGTCAGCTAAAATTTTAACCCTTTAAAATCATGATTCAGTGCTCTGCCGACACGCTTTTCTTCCGTACTGTTGCCGCCACAGCGGGCCCAGGGGACAGCTCGACTGCTTTCGAAAAGCTGTCAGTGCCCTACCCCAGCCCTCCGACATACTGAGGCTACAGACAGGACTGGGAAGCTCAGCCGGCTACAGAGAACTGCTCCCCGCCGGGGGCGGGCCCGGGAGCGGGGTGAGGCCGGCGCCGGAAGAAGGGTTCGGTTCCGGGCCGCGCGGCGTCATGGAGTCGCTGTGGCGGCTGAAGCGGTTCGACGCTTTTCCGAAGACTCTAGAAGATTTTCGGGTTAAGACGTGCGGGGGAGCGCTGGGTGAGCGGGGGCGCTGCGGGTGGCCGGGGGACCTTGGCGGGCCGGCGCTCGTTAGAGACTCAGGGCGGCGGCGGTCTGGTTGCGGCGGGGCTGACAGTGGTTCTCGTCTCCCTGGCAGTGACGGCAGTTAGCGGGCTCATCATGGTGCTGCTTTTCTTCTCGGAGCTGCAGTACTACCTCACCAAGGAGGTAAGTACCGCCGACGGAGCGGACACGGCCCCAGACCCCCGTGCTGCCTCCGACTCGCGGCGGGCAACCCTTCATAGTGGCCGGAGCGCCCTTGCCCCTGCCCCCGCCGGGCCGCCCCCCTGGGCTGCCCAGACAGCAGCTTCGCCCAGCATAGACCTGCGGTTCGCGTTATTTTTCTGTGCCCTGTCCGGTCGCCGCGGCTGTGGGGGCGAGCTGCCCTCCTCCGTCTGTGGCGTCCTGCCAGGACGGCGGTACGTCACGCCTCCTGCGAGCAGCCATGCCAAGCCAAGAAGGGAAAGCAAGCGCTGAAGCCTTGTTCCCTCCCCACGTTCAGAGATCCCCCAGTTATTTAACAGCATTGCAAATGGCATGCGCTGGGCTGTGCAGGGCAGTGGCTCAGCTGTCTCGCAAACCTCTTCTGTCTTAAAAATCAGCTCCTGGGCCACAGCACCAAGAGAAAGGGGCCTTTTGATTTGCTCACAAGTAAAATGGGACTGTTTTTCCTTTGTTCCCAGGTTCATCCAGAATTATACGTTGATAAATCAAGGGGAGATAAACTGAAGATCAATCTAGATGTTATTTTTCCACATATGCCTTGTGCTTGTGAGTAAGACTTCTGAATGGTGATGATAATTTTTGTCCTTGGCGGGGACTCAAGAGGCTCAGTGTGCTCATAACAAATGTATGCTTGTAGATCACTTTCCTTGTGCACTGGTTTCAGATTTGAGCATTGATGCAATGGATGTAGCAGGAGAGCAGCAGCTGGATGTAGAGCACAATCTGTTTAAACAACGCTTGGATAAAGCTGGGAATCGTGTAACTCCAGAGGCTGAGAGACATGGTAAGATGCTCTTCTACCTGTCCTGGTTTGATGCTCTGTTAGTGTTTCCGTTGTATGCCTGTTCTGAGATTTGTGGGAACAAGGTGACAGCTGTAGAGTGTTTAAATGCCACAAAGTCTTGAATACCTTATAACATGCAGATCTATTAAACTACTTTTACACTCAGTACTTTTGCAAGAAAATCTTTGCCCAGTCCCTCTGAAACTATGATAAAGACCCATGGATGCATTTGAGGAATAAAGTTGCACAGTTGGTGGTCTTTTGAGATTAGAAATCAAGCAGCTGTTCTTGCAAAATTTGGGTTTAAATCACAGTGGGTGAACAAATGGGACTGTGTGATTCTAGGAAAGGCTCCAGTGACTTAACTTTTAAGCCTAAACTTGCATTAACTCTGTGTGTGTTAATGCACACCTGGATAAATACATGTGAGTTGATCTGTTGTTTGCAAGCTGTAATAAGGGATCCTTGGCTACATAAACCTCTCCTCTACATTTTTTACATGTTATGACTCATCCTTGTTCTTTGATACCAACCAGAAAGGATTCTGACAAAGCATTTTTCAGTCGCACACTATTACTATTTTGACTTTCCTTTCCAGAACATGAGTTACTTGTTCTATTTTCTGGGAGTCAGTGTAGCTCTGAGTATCAACATGACCAAATTTTTAGCTTTGTATCACTTTAGATTTAACATTTTGTTGTTGACACTGAAAGGCTAAACTAAGCCAAGAGCTGAACAATTGGCAGGCACAAGGGTTTCTCTGGTTTTCGTGGGAATGTGGTGATAGTGTTCTTACTGCTATGTCACTTAGCAACCATCACAGGTTGTGACTTTAAAAATTATTATTTGGGTAAAAAAACTATTCTACATGTTTTTAAGCAAGTCCTGTATTGCTTATAATGTACTGTTGGGTCTACTTTAGATGCTTTAGCAAAGCCTTTATGCAAGCAATGTCTGATGCTTCAGCAAGGCTTACAGATAGCCAGTTCTTTCCATGGAGGCTGTTCTTGAGAGGACAAATACTATGCTCCTTCTTGGTTTTGCTCCACACCTCAGCAGGCTACATACATACCACTTTGGGTGGACGTTGGGTGCAGGATGTGCAGTAGCACATTGTGTGCAGAGTATTCATTATGCATAGAGCAGAACAAGAGTACAAGACAGAGTTTCTAGATGTGTCTCATCACTTTGAATCCTGTTTTGTCTTAGAGCTGGGAAAAGAAGAAGAAAAAGTGTTTGATCCAAATTCTTTGGATGCTGATCGCTGCGAGAGCTGTTATGGGGCAGAGTCAGAGGACATTCGGTAACCTTTGCACTTTTTTCCTATCTTCTTAGCGCTTGAATCCTGGTATGTTATATGCATATTTTTTTTCCAAATGTCTATGAAGGTCTGTGCAATGAAATCCTGCTCTCAGGCACATGTTCAGTGATAAGAGCTATTGTGGTTTGCCTATGCCTTTGGAAGCTGCACTCAAGATTGTTGAGAAGGTGCATTTGTAGGTGGTTTGGATTGTCTACGTGCCTGTTTAAGCAGTACAAAACTTGTATCTCAGCAGGTGAGAGATTTTCTGGGCTTGTTTGATGTCCAGAGCAGAGGTGTTTAAATGATTTGACTGTTACACGAGGTATCTTGATGTAAAACCTGGTTATGCCCTGGCCTTGCCTTCTCACTGCTGCTGGTGGCATTTTTTCCTTACAGGAGAAAGGACCAGACATCTATGGTTCACACAAACAACAGGCATCTTTTCGTATTTCTCATTCCTCTGAACAGGAAATTACTGTAAGAATGGATCCATGATAGTCCATATAGGTTCTGGACTAATTTTGGCTATTTTTGGCTCAGTGATAACTTGGTTTGTCCCATCTGTCAAGTTGTGTCCTTTCCCAGAGATGTTTTCATCTTGAGGTATTCATAACTGCTGCCTTCAACAGCAGGAATTCGTTCAACATGTCCACCGAAACATGAAACCAAGGAAGAAACCTGGGTTTTTTTCTGGTAACCAAGTATTGTCCACAGGTAGAAAAGTACAAAGAAAGTTTGTAGTTAAGCCCCCCTTTAGCCCAATGTCTTGGCCTAAAAACAGAGGAGAGGAGCAATAAAAATAGGCAGGTGCTTTGTTCACATGAGGAAGTTCTAAACTGCTTATCACTGGGGGACACTGATGATGTTTTTGTGATAAATTTCTTTGCCAAGGGATGCCTTGGCTGTGTAAATGGCCAGGCAGAGCCCTCTTTGGACTCCAGTCCTGTATTCAAACAGTGTGCATCCTCACCTCCAAACCTCAAAAGGCACATCAAGAAGATCATGCTTATTCAGGACCATTAGGCCACTTTCCAAGGTCCAGTCCCCAATATTTGTGTTGCTGCTTTGTTGAATCCTGTCAAGGATTCAAGTCCTGAGCTGGGACATCTCGTCTTAATGATAAAGATGGTAAGATGGTGCTTGTGCTTTTTGCAGGTGTTGTAATACCTGTGACGATGTCAGAGAAGCATACAGGCGGCGAGGCTGGGCCTTCAAGAACCCAGATAGCATAGAGCAGTGCAAGAGGGAAGGGTTTAGCCAGAAAATGCAAGAGCAGAAGAATGAGGGCTGCCAAGTGTATGGTTTCCTAGAGGTCAACAAGGTGAGAGAGAGCTTTTGCTGTGAACCTGCTGCATGATGGTGAGGACTGTGAAAAGGCAGAGTTGGGGCATTCTTCTCCTTTTCCAGTTTTAGGTGCTTACAGTACTATCATAGAATAACCTCTGGCGTCTTTGTGCTACGTCTTTGTGCTTGTCATGAGGTTCAGGAGGACAGTCAGGAAGAGCAGTGGAAAAGAGGCTAGTTCTGGTTTGTGTTCTGTGGGCTGATAGGAAGTCATGGCAGCTGGTGAAGTTCGTCTTTTCATCCCACCTGGGTACCAAGTCTTTTTGCTGAGATTTCTAGAGGAGGAGAGGCAGCTTCTTTTAGCTTGAATTGTTCCACTGCCCTTCCGGTTTTAAATCAGAGGCCACAAGTGGGTGCTGGAGATAACTTGCCTCAGAGGTGCTGGAGAGAGTGAAATGTTATCTTCTTTAGAAAAACAGGAAGCAAGGCTATTGGAGTTGGTTGTTGAGCTGAAAATGCTCAGAGAGGTGGTTTATGCAAATGATGTATGAAAATACACAAGATGCACCAGGTAACTATGTAACCTGTCATTTTGTGGGTTACCCTCACAAATACACAGGTTGCATACCCAAATGCCCTCTAGAAGAAGTCAGACCCAGGCTATTTTTTGTTTGTTTTTAACTTCAAACTCTGTTGGTTTTTTATTTTTTGGAGGTTTTTTCTTTTTTTTTTATCCTTGTGTATTCTTCCTGGAGACCACAGTCTTT